GGCATCCTTTTAGCAAGAGATCTTCAAAAATGTGATCTCTTGCTTTGCTGCTGTTGGTCATCGAGGTAGCCTATAATTGTGACTGGCCAATAGCCATGTAAGGTAATGGGACTCAGTGGCAAGCTCCAGCACTAATCAGAAGTGGTAGACCCTTGCCTGTTAGAATGAAGAAGGATTTTGCTTTTGAAGCTGCTACAGATATAGATGCTTGCACATTATATCTGCATCATTTTCTTTGTTTGTTTTATTCTAGAGATCGGGTCTGTTTAGGCTATAACTGCACTTGTAATAAGAACTATACAAAACAGAAAAACTGCAGATGCCCTATGCATGCTTAGACAAAAATCTAACTAGAAGTTTGCAAATCTGATTTCCGGGTCTACATTGAAGTGTACAAGTACGGCAAATGTTTTGATCCTGGAGATGCAGCAGAAAAAGAGAGGAAATATCTCCAAACAAAGGTTCCCCTCTTACACAGGCAATTCTATTAGAAGGTTTTCCTACTATTCCCATTACAGTGACAGCAATATAATTTTAGATTTCTCATCATTTTCTGACTCAGTGACCATGGTCACCAAAACAAATGAAGAGGGTGAATCTTCCCAGTGGGAACATAGACAGCAATAGAAAAACCTGACAGAGGTTCGAACTCTGTATCCAAAACTAGAAAAAAAAACACTTTGGCTTTACGTAAATTTTAACCAATTTGTACATTGTAAAATAATATATTTTTTTAGGGTGTAACTGCATTTTTAATTAATATTATCAGGGCTATTTACAAAAGGATGAAGGGTTTGGAGAAGGCAGGATAAATGAACAATCTAGGGTAACATAGCTGATCTGGAAAGTGAGCTGAATTGGAGAATTTTTCCAAATCAGCTATTATGGTCTAGATTGTTCACTTCTCCTGCCTTCTCCAAACTCTTCACCCTTTTGTGAATAACCCTGTATGTTTTTGTACTTGTCCTAGCAGCCTCTGAAAAAATGCCAGTTTGATGGGATACCTTTACTGAAGAGAAGTTATGTTTCCAGCAATACTTTCGGCAGCCTCCTGGGTCTGAGAACTTCCTGCTGTGCTCAGAAAAATCTGCTCCTGAGTAATGACTTTCTCATTCAACTCAATACAGAGCAAAACTTCACATAGTACCTCTAATAATGGCCAAAAATAGTTTGCTTACATCAAAGATGGATACAAACACAGAGTCAGGCCATGCTGCTGGAAGCAGGACTTATCTTTAGTAAATATAGCCAACTATACTGGTATTTTTATAGGCTTCAGGAACAAGTATAAAAGCATAATATTTATTAAAACTGCCGTTACACTTTTTAAAAAGGTTTTTTTGTTAAAATTTTTTTGCTGTAGACCCACAAACAATGTTACATTTTAGCCTATGCATACATAGGTGTTCTACAGTGTGCCTGTTTCGCTTTGCTTTCAGCTCCACTTGACACAGGGCTAGTAGAGCAGAACTGATGCTGCTAGGTTCATTGAACCCTAAAACAATCTCAGCTGCTGCACAGATGAGCACCTGGCTTCCACATACAGAAACCTGTCTTATCTGCTTGCATCTGGAACTGGAGCCAGGTGCTTGTCTACACAAAAGCCACACTTTCTGGAGGTCTGCACCCTACAAGTGGTGTCAGTTAAGCTCGATTTACTTTATACTAAATGTGGCTTACACCAAAGGGAGACTGTGAAACACATTTGCACACACTTTGCCTGTTATTTCATTCCTGTATGTGCACAATTTTACCTTCATTTAGGCAAAGATAAATATTCATCATGGCTTGTTGTATGCATGTGAACATCTAGATCATCAGTATTGTAAGACTTTGCCCCAAATGGTTTTCCACAATAGACTAAAAAAAAGGTCAGTTCACTAAGCTGTATGGGTTATTTCAATTTACTTTTGTTTATCACAGTATAATTTTCTCAGCAAAGCATTCAAAACTCACTTGGTACTGTTGCTGAATATTTTTTTCTGTGCACATTTTTTTTTTTTTAACCGGTAAAAGCCTTTATTTTTCATTTTAACTTTAAAAAGGTTTGAATCACAAAGCTAACACACCATGATAAGTATACTCGTAGGAATAATTTCCCATCTATTTATTTTCTTGGCTTTTCTTTCATTTTCAGTGATAACAGTCACCAGGACAAATAGAGATGGTGAATCTCCCTAATAGTGCTTTAGTTGCATTTTAAGGTGGTCCCATTGGAATTGGACTCATTAAGCCCTTGTCCATTCCCTTAGAATATTATGTTAGTTCTCTATCTTGATTATCTCCTATGAGATTGAATGGCTGTCTTAGACATTCCTACTCTTTCTTGGAGCCTTCTTCCCTGATGCCTAGGGTCAAAAAATGTAGGGCTCAAAAATCTTAGACGAGCTGTCTTACCTTGTCTACCTGTTGTCCAATTTTTTCTAAGGGATCTATTATGAAGCTGGAAAACCTTCAAACTTTGTTTACCATTCTTGTATTTGATCTGTTTTCCCCTTTCGGGTTGCTATATTAGTCCATATTATTATATTTTATTATTGCTTTGGTACATAGTTTCCAGCTATTCTTTCCTTATGGGGAGCGATTCTTTACCTGATCTGATCATCAGTTTGACCCTTTCCTGGGTTAGATTCAGGCACTAGTTCTTCTGGTTGTTTCAGATGATTTCTTGTTCTATCCTGCATCCATCAGTGCATGTTGCCAACTCCTCAGTTGGACTGCTTTTGGATGCCCCAAATGTCTAAATAATTACTACATTCCAGTGTCTCTGGAAGGACGATAAAGAAAAAAAGATTTTTGTACTTAACTTAAAATCCTTTTTTTGGAGTCCATTGAGAGATACAGGTCACACTCCTCAGTGTTCTCTTGCCTTATGTACTGCTTGCTCACACACTGGAGGCATGGATAGAGGTGAGGTTATATGGGGATGGGCATTTCTCTTTTCACCAGTGTCCAAATCTCCTGTGAGTGGCAGCACATAACCCGCATGTCTGTCTAAGAATTACTACATTCCTGTGTCCTTCAAAGAACTCCAAGGAAACATGTTATGGCAAGTACAAAAATCTTATTTTTTCTTCTTTATTTCAAGTGAAGTTTATTGTGGCATAATTTAACGTTCTTTATCAAGTGTGAGAGACAGTTAAGGAGATTTCCTATACCTCCCTGTCCTGTGAGGGGAAATCACCCCAATGGGGACACAAATAGCAATTAAAATCTGATAGAGATGGTAACCCTTTCTTTATGTTTCAAAAACTAAATAAAATGCTTTGGCTAGAGTTAAACTTAAACATGAATGTCATGAATTCACCGGATCAAAGTAATTAAACCTTTAGTGATTAATAGAACAAAATATAAAATTATAAAATAACACCAGTTCATGAAAAACTGCACAAACTATACTCTACATCTGTTTAGGAGTGCAAGAGTGACATCTTTGTCATAGTATAGTTGAAGAGACACAGCTGCAGATAAGAAATCTTAACACTATAGTCCAGTGGTACCGACCCGCGGAACACTTGCGGCCCATGAGCCGGTACTATGTGGCCCGCAGCCAGCTCACTAGTCAGGTACGCGGTCACGGACCACGTGTGTGGTTTTTAAAAGCGGCAGCTGTCACCCATTCAAGTTAATAATCAGGTAACAGCAGTTGCACACCTGCATGTAATGATATGTGATATGATTACATTTGGTTAGGAATCAATCACTCTCCCAGGACGCAATGATTGTTCATCCAGGGAGAGTATTTTCTAACCGCATGTAATCATATTACATATGATTACATGCGGTGTGCAGGGCTTTACATGCAACTGCTGTCACATGATCATTAACTTGAATTGGTGATAGCTGCCGCTTGTAAACACCAGATTAGGTATTCCTGCTGCAGGAAAACGCAAGTTTCTGACACAGAAATCCCTAATCGCACTTAAACTTACAGATATGAATGGGGCCTTATTGTGTGCATATTCGTGTCTGTAGTACCAAACCGGATACAGTTACATTTTATTTTAAAGTATGAAATTTGCCGAGCGGCCCCCATGGGAGAGAAACATTTGTCTAGTGGCCCCTGACCCCTGCTATATTCTATGAAAGATGTAAGAATGTTGTTGGTTATTCAACTCACTATTGCTCACCCAAAACTTGCTTGTTGAACACAAATTTTAAGTAAAGATGAGTAAAATTCTAGCCAAGGTATCATGATGATGATTAGAAGAACCATGTACCGTTTTGTTATACTTTTTTCATGTTTATAATGTATGAAATGCAAAACATATGAAACATTTTATTTTATGAATAACTCATTTTTCATTGTCAGTGATATTCCCTGAATCCAGCAGCTGTGGGCACAGATCATGTTTGACAACACTCATGGGATTTTGTCCATTGTCTCTATTAATGGAACAATATCAGATGTGTCACTTAATGTCAATGGAGACAAAAGCTGAAATTAAAATGTACAGAACTTTTTTTTTTACTGTGGTTTTAAAAGCTTTTCTGGCACCAAAATCCCCATCTTATTAACTATGCATGTTTAAAACTGAAAATAAAATCATAAGAACTTTTCATGAATCTAAGAGCTAAACTTAGCAAAGAATGCAAGCTGTGTGCCAATGCAAAAGGTGCTGCAAACAATCTACTATTCTCATTGTCCTGACTTGGCAAAAGCTTGAATGCTAGACATTCTTTATACCCATTAATTAATTGCTTCCCTCCTGTCAATTTACAAGAATTTGTTTTATGGATAGCAAACCGGTAAACAGATTTACAATTATGAATGTATTGGTGGGGCGCAGAATAAAAGCTAATTACGAAATAGGTCTTCAAGTCCCCTATGACTTAAAAAAGGTTAATTTACCTGACCTGTAATTGAATGTCAAGAAGGTGTTTTAGGAAACTTGGACAACTTGTGCCACAGAAAATACAGTTGTATAGTAACAATATACTTTAAAAACAATCTTCTGTTTTCTTATATATTGTTTACTTTTTTGTTTTCTTTATTGTAGAGATCCTGAATGGTGGAGTGTACCTGGACCGCAATGACTTCCTTTGTTATGCAGATACCATAAATTGGCAGGATATTGTTCGCAATCCCAATGCTACAGTGTTCCCGATGAGCAGAAATCCAAATTGTAAGTGTATATTTACTGTATCTTTCTATCAATGTCTATGGTGTTGGCTGCTGCAGGAGCAGTCTTAGGTTTGTCATAATCTGAGCAGGCACTTGAATTGCTACACAACATGTGATGAATATAGATCATTCATGCTGAGCCCTGGTCACTCGCATCACAAAATGACTGCCCCTGTACATAATCTAGATACAGTGCAGTGATGCAGAGCCTTTTACTTATTGATCCATAAATGGATATCATCTTTATTTACCAAACTTTACAAATCTTTACACATTTTGAACATTCAGAAAACTATCTTTGACATTTCTGCATGCATTGTCCTCTCCAGATAGCTGTTTAGGCCTGTAAAAGCAAATGTTTTACAAAAGCTGCAATCTTTTTGTCCACCAAAGGGCAATTTGCATATTAAACTATGCGCTTTGAGTTAATTTTTCTCAGCAGTTGGGATGAAACAAAATATTTTGCTGTTCTGTTCTTCTAATTTGGAAAAACTAAGCAGATTAGTGGATTTTGAACTATATTTCTCACCCTGAATCATGAATGCTTGGATTAAAAAAATGGATATTCTTGGCAAATCAGGCAGATGTACTTGCAAATATTCAGGAATGAAAAAAAATTAATTGGGGATATTCCTGGCTTAATCATTTATAGACAGAAGAACATGTATGTAGAAAAGGCCAACACTAATACAAGGTGTAGGGCTACAGTTGGGGCAATAGTGTGGGGACAGGCAATAGGCATTGACAAACTATTTTTAGAATTACTTGCAGGGCTATATTTAGAATTCATTTTGGGTGAGCCAGAAGTGCTTGATGATATTCCCACATACTTCTTTTGTTTCAATCTATGGGACAACATAAAAATTAAAATTGCAGTGTGGTCTCCATAGCAGCTTAGAGGCTAACATACAGTCCTGCCAATGGACTATAGAGTACACCAATAATAAACCTGCAGAAAAAAAGGATAGCTGCTGGAAATTCAGAAGATATTGTGACCTTTCTCATCAACCCTAGTGGTGTACTTACCTATAAGTACTCACACAAAACCCCCCCACAAATTAAATTATTAGTGTACATTGATCCAACATACTCTAAATTTTGCTAGCCTTTAAACCTAGGACCATAAACATTTAATTGTACATACAGCCCTTATTTCTGGTTCTTAAAATTACTTCAATTTAGGCATAGGAATAGGACTTATAGTCATTAAAAATATGATCAGACAGAATCCCAGAAACTGGAAAAGGAGAGCCAACCTATGATCCCACCTTCCTTACACTACTTCTCCCCCTGCAATCCTGCTCTCCATCTCATCAACCATATTGGTTCTTCAGACCAAACCGCACTTCTGAAGCACTTTTAAAACCACAGTAACACTTCTTTCAGGTGGAAACAATCACCATCTTGAGTTTATTTGACAGAAAGTAAATATTCCCAATATTATCATAGAGAAGTTAAAACGTTTAATGCAATAGATCACATAGAAGACAAATGGTGTTCTTGTCCAGTTACAAATATTATGTTGTATTGCACCATCTCCATTTACAGACATCACTCTAAGCATTATTCAACTTTGAACAGCTTTCTTACAAAGAAGCTCAAGTCATTTTTGACCCACAGGTTTGCTTCTTTACAAGTATTCAGTAAAGAATAGCAGAACATTAGAGTGATCCTAAGAAACAAAAGTATTTTGTGAGCGTCAGTATCCAGACATTATGCTTTTGTTCTCACCATTTGTGCTTCTTGCAGCTAAAAGGTTTTTCTCTAGCCTTAGAAACACTAGATGGACTTGTAGGGGAAGGGGACTTATTCTGGAGAAATGGGATACAATCCAATACTACACCAGTATGGAGTCCAGCTCTTGTATTTTTACTGCTCAAGCTAGCATTGTATTATGCAACCTTGGCAGGAACAGGATGCAAGCAACAAAAGTCTATTACAGCTTATTAAAAGTGTATTGACCTGCAGAAGCCAATCATAATTCACATTTCACTGCCCTAAATACCATTAACTGAAATTTAATAGGATGTTTTGAATGACTGCTTTACACTGCTTTACTGAATAAGGATCATCTATGAAAGAGATTACACAGCCATTGAGACTGAGATCCTTGTGGTTTACTCGTTTATAAATTTAGTTTGGCTAGAAAACTGAACAGATGCTACCAGGTTTTTATAAGATGCTACCATTTCTCTACAACTACTTCCTGTCCCCTCCTGGTTTTAAAACAGTATATGATCCTTTATGTAGTATAACGCTTACAGGTGAATGAATTGAAAATATATATCCTTGTTTAAAAGGTTTTTCCCCACTGACGATTGTATCATCATTTTAATATATTACATTTTGTTGTTGTTTGGGTATAATTTCCTAATTAGAAGATAAGGGCTCTTAGTGCTAAGCTGAGGAGACATTATTGTTACTGTCAGTTAACAATGACCCTTAAAGCATGCTGTTATTTCTAATAACATAGTTTAATGACTCTTCTGCTTGGTTAATATAGCTCTGAGTGGTGTATTTCTGTGCCCAGTAAACACAGTTTGCAGAGTCTCAGGATGAATTTAGCAAAGCAGCAAAGTATTGCTGGAACTGCTCTACCAGGAACATATTGTACAGTAGCTTTGAACATCCTCATAATGCTCCATCAAACAGCTTTACAATTACTATAACAGCTCAAAATGCAAGCAAGCACAGAAAGATAGGTCCCTATTTAAATTTACCAAAGCAATTATTATATCTGGGCAATGGCTATATACAGTAAACCCTAAAATATTTCTAAAACAGTTACACACTTTCTAATTATTTATAAAGTATATGAATAATAGTGTCCACAACGTATGTCTCCATTAATGCTCCTTGCTTGGATGAAGGGTAGTTTAAAATAAAATAAAGAGAAATATGTGAGCTGTCATGACCGATCTACTTTTTTACAATGCTAGTTGCCATGACCTTTAGCTTTTATGGAATTGCAGGCGGTACTATCCTAATAAATAAATGACACAGACACCAAATATGTGGAACAAAAAATGGCCGCGGCACTTTTATTGGTTTAATTCTTCTTAAAAAGGTTGTTGCCTTTAGAAACCAAGGACCATATATATGAAGTTGGGAATTGAAGATGGACATCTTACTTGTTCCTATAGGCAATGGTACTATGTTCCCTTTACATGAGTGATTGAAAATAAGGAACAGGATAATATACAATGTGGACTATAGCAAAAAAAAATAAAAAAAATAAACCACTTTGAAATAGTACATTTGTTGATTCAGATTTGAACATCACATCTAAAAGAGGGACATTTGTGAAAGAAAGAGGGGCACATGGCTTATAAGAGAGCCTCACCCTACTGTGCCCTACAGGGGGCAGTTGGGAACTATGGTTTAAAGCAGAACTAATCCCACAAATGTATCTTTCCTTCTTTCCTAAAAGAAAGCTTAAGTTAGAAATAGTCAATAAATGTTGTTAAATGCATGTTATTTTCTAAAGTGTTTTTAATTACAATCTGCTCACTGGTTCATACAGAGTATGCTACATTCAGGGCATACCACTTGGTGATAACTAGACATGTAACCAGAGCTGGATTTCCCACAAGGCCCGGCCTCGGGGCAGCAGGAAGTAGAGGGGCAGCAAGGGTGTGGAATTCCTATCTCCCGATGCCGGGACATGCAGTTCCGAGCAGTTCCGAGCGCCGGGCGGGTAGTTGTTTTCTACATTTAGCCCTGCCTTTGGCAAGCAGAGCTAAATATACCGCAGGGAAGCTGCTGCTTGGTCTGTACAAGTGATCTCAGCGATGTTGCAGAGATCACTTGTATGCAGCAACAAGTATGCAGTATCCATGGGGGGGGGGGGGGGAGGGCGGGTAGGGGGCCGCATTGAGGAACCTGGCTTTGGGGCAGCAGAGAGGGAAAATCTGGCCCTGCATGTAACCCCACAAAAAATTGTTACGTTTCGGATCTATTCAAATTTTTATTTCTTTTGTTTTTCGGATCCGAAATTCGATTTGGTTCATTATTCGGATTTTGTATCTGTCCAAATTATCATTTTGGAAAGATCCACAGGAACAGGAAGTCACATGAACGTGTCTGTAATGCAACCCCCGGCAGCCAAAAAAAAGACATCTGATTGGCCAGGGAACAGTCTCATGTCCAATTTAGTTTTGTTTTGAATGAAATTCGGGCAGATCCGAATTTTTGTTAAAGGAACTTTCAGATTTGTTCCCACTTAGATGCATTTGAATTTAATTAAATTCGTATGTATATTCATTCGGAACGAATTGAACTTACATGTATAGTAATAACTGTTGAGGTTGGCAGTGTGCTTATGTCAGCTTTCAGCCAATCCTTCAAGGCCTCAAAAGGCTAGTGTCATAGCTGGTCACTTCAGATCTAAATAGAGACAAAATCTGCAGATAGAAGGAGCGTTTTGATCCACTTTAATGTTCTAATAAACAGTGATACATTTAAAGAGACTCTGTCATGGGAAATTCTGCGGGTATAAAGTGCTGGTACAGAGGTAGCAGAAAGCTCTAACACTACTCAGAATTGCCAGTGCTTTGCTTGTCAGAATGGCTCAACATTCAACTTAACTTCAAGGTTTTTGAGGCATTTGTATGTGTCTGCATTTTATACCTGCCACAGTTGTGTTTCTTTTCCATGACAGAACCTCTTGAAACTATCATGGGATCCAGGTGGTACCTATGCCATGGGCACCTACTTTATTGATTACTTGTGCCTGATCACCCAATAAATAAAATCACAATCCTATTTTATTTTAAAATGTATACGGGGTATACTTGGCCTGATGTGAGTAATGTGACCAAACTGAACATTGCTTTTGAAAATTAGTTTATTTACAGTCATTGAAAGTGTTTATTACATAAATACAGAGATAGCAAATCTCCCCATAATCATTTGGAAATCAGTTATTTTTCACCACAGAAAGTAGAATAGACTCTTTACCACCTGTACTCTGTATGGTGCAATGGACAAAGTCAGAACTAA